CTCATTGCAATAGCATTGCATTGCTATTCCAGCAAACATTTCAGGAAGACAAGAATCACTGGGCATTACAGAATACCAGGAAAAAAAAATTCCACAGTAGCATCAAACTCCATTCTATTATTTTCCCCTTTTTTGCATCTATTTACAGAGTGCACCTTCTGACCCATTTACCTCTGTGACCTCTAAAGTATTTTGTTTTCTAATTTTCCCACAGAAAACTTTGAGCATCACTCAGCTGACAGGAATCAATTGTGCTGACCATTCTAAGAGCTGGTTCTATGTTATTTGGAAAACCCCCAGCCATTTCTGTGAAGCAATGCAAATGGGAAGCCTAAAGAATGACTGACATACAGCAGAACATACTCAGAACAGTACAGAACATACTCACTAGACTATTAATTGTAAAAGACTGAGACAATGAAATAAGCACCTAGAAGCCCAGGAGCTCACACGCTGAGACTTTTTGGAATGCCAAAAATGATGTTTGTATTCTGGTAATTTGCAGTCTTAGATGGTTGTTGGTTTAGCAGCAGATGAAAAATCTACATGAGGCACAGCTGGCAAAGAGGTGCCCAGAGAAGTGAAGTGTTTGCACACAGCTCTGATTAAAACTGGTGTGTAAGGAAGAAGTACATTCCTCTTATTTTTATGAGTACAGGAGTTCTTGAGAAGAGGCCAATGAGACTCCTGTCCCGTACTGGCACATCCATATTTCTGGTGACTGTCCTTTGGTTCCCAGGTTCATTAATCAGGTTCACTCAGACAGCTGCACAGTGCCATAAAAGAGCAGGATATTCCACTTGGAACCAACCATTAACAGCAATGCCAGTTCCCAGACAAGCGAAACCACATTTAGCTGTCTTTTGATAAAATTTACTCTCAGCACTTCAAGTATTCCTATTATTGCTGCTGTAAAATTTGGTCAATAGAAAAATATCACAGCAGAGAGGGAAAAGAGGATCTGTACTGACAAAACATCAGCAATGCCTGACATAACACAGCCCACCAAAACTGATGAAACTCAAGGGTCTTTCCAGACTGCATCACAGATGAGTAGATAGAAGCACCCATTTCTATTAATAGCTGCTAGACACACGTGAAAATATCAATTCTATAAAACATGCTGCTATCTCAAGAACAGGTAAGAAGGCATACCTCTGAGCAAAAAAAGGCTGCCCTATCACTATGAAGGCTGCTGGGATGTAGGTTTTAGCAGCTCTATACCACTTTCAGAGCATGCCACAAAGGAGCGTGCCTTGGTGTCTTTTCCAGGACATCTATCTGTACAGCTTCTCCTAGAGCATGTGTTTCTTCATTCCCATGCCCAAGACTTGCAAGTACCTTGGCATACTGAAAAAAAGGCAACCCAAAAAAACCTCTTTTGCCTTATTGCCAGCTGCCTCTTAGGGAACATCTTTAATGGATATTCCAAGTGAAGGAAACATGAAGTTTAAGGGAATAGCAAAAATGGGTAACTACCAAAAATACCTACTCTTCTACAAAGAAAGAAGAAAAATCTTGCGTACTCCTAACAGTTCCTGTCTCTCAACACAGCCAAAGGAAATATGGGGCAAAAAAAGTCACAGCTCATCAAGCAGACACAGTGCTGCTGCTGGGACTACCTCAAACATATCTTACACCAGGAAAGGTTTTACCTCCTACAGGCTTCTAAGAACAGCACCAATCTGTCTTGTAGATGAACTTTGAGTTGAGAGCACAAACATGCTGCTTTCGACTTGAAAACCCACACAGCAAGCTTACAGCGGCTCTGGTATGAAGTTATCTGAGAGCCCAAACACTAGACCACCTTTTGTCAGTATTTTAGAAATACTGGAAAGCTGTTTCTATTTAAATGTATGCATTCCTATTTTAATTGCTTTTGTTTCACACTTTCTACCAATAATTATTTTCATTTTGCATTGTGTCTAAGAAGTCTTTTTAAGTACCTTAGAGTATCTTTTTTTCTCAACACCTTCCCCCTTTACTTTTCCTATACTGCCACTGAATGCTTCTAAAATAAACCAACCATTTAAAAACAGAAATTCTTTGTTCCTTGCCAGTGGGCAGTCAGCCAACATTCAAGATTTTGAGAGGGGAAGTGGCTTGGCAAGAAAATTAAAGCAAACAGATATCAATAGGGACAGTATATCAATAGGGACAGTATGCTACACTTGCTGAACTTGCCCTCCTCCCACTGGGCCCATCTGGGCCCCAAAACATTTCTACATCTCTGTATCAGATTTTTAAAAATAATAATAGTGAAGAAAATTTTAAAAAAATAAAAATTCTCAGCTTAATTTTCCCTGGCACACTTTTTGCTGTTTTCTCTTCATGCTTTTTTTGCCACCACTGAGGTCACTGTAGGACCCTTGCTCCTTGAGAAGAGTCACTTATGACAGAGCACAAGGCTCTTTCTTGGCTTCTCTCTTCCCAGTAACACTGCCATGATTTATTAATTGCAGGCTACGACAAGTATCCCATAGTACTCCCCTGTGAAATTTCACAGCTGTCCTCGTATCACTCTTTTCAAAGCCCCTGAGACTCCAAAACTCCCTCCTGAGATGTTTACCTAATTTTGACCAGTTTTACAGAGAGCAAAGCCTACAAAATGATGCATGTACTTTACTGTTAAGAGATGGATTTTCACTGAATGTTTTAAAGAGACCTAAAAGGAAGACAGGTGTCATTAAAGAGAATAAAGAGAGGAGGGGGGAGACAGCTAACAAAGTGACAGCTGCAGCGGGGGAGAGATTGCCACTGCTCACACAGTGCACCACACAAACACTATTCCTGTAGTGTAGAATGGCAACAAAAAAAGCACTTGTTCCACTGGGGAGAGAGGAAGAATTTAACTTGCCTGATTTTCTTTCAAGAAACCTGTACAATTCAAACTGCATATGAATTTGTCCAGCAAAATTATGTTTCTATGGCAAAACTGCAATACAGACAAGGCTTTAGATTCATGCTCTTACCCAGCAGGCTGACCCAGGTGAAGATTTTAGAACAGTAACATTGGAGGAAATATTAAAGACGACTGATTTCTTTTCTTCTACAATCTTATTTTTGGATTGACTTGCAGCTCAATGTAGCATAGCAATGAATTATGACAGACATTTGTTAACTGTAACACCTCAGCGGTGTGCACTGCAAAATACTTTATTCTTAACATTAAGGGAAAGGTACCCAGAAATTGAACTGGATTATTTACAACACGGTAGTCTGCTATTTCTTCAGTATTACTGAAGAAACCAATTTCATTGGAATAAGTTTTACATTCCGTTGTTTATGCCTATAGTTCAGGCCCTATTTTACAAAGCACCCATTCAGTTCTGAGCAATCCAAAATTAATCTTTTAAATTACATAAGCAAATGCTAATATACCTATTTTCTGTAAAGTTCATAAAGTTTTTTAGTAAGCCATAGAAGAAAATATAAGAAGCTGTTATTAATAATGTTCAGTTGAAAAAACTCAGCTCATAAAATGGCACAAATTATAAATCACAGGTGAAAGAGGTTGTTAATAAACAAATAGCATATAAAATACATTTTATCAGTAAACTTGTATCAGGAAAAACAGATTCATCTGACTGAGCCTCACAGATTTTTGACAGCAACTGGAAAATGACTATTTTTGACACTTGACTAGTTTTCAGATACGTTGACTACACAGCTGACAATTTTAGCTGACAGCATGCATCTATCCTACTTACAGCTTAGGCAAGATGCAAGAACTGCTCCCCTTTACTATTCTTGGAAAAGGTACAAGTGATCATGAACTCCAGGGGAAATATCTTACTTTTAGCAGCTAAATGACATCCAGTCCCCCAGGATGCATCACAATTTGTGATTAGCTGATACCAATGCCTCCTTCAAGGAGATAACAGCCAAAAGGAGTCTCTAAAAGCAGATACTACAAAAGCTTTAAAAAGAAAAAGCTGTGGGGGGTGAGGAGGAGGAGGAAAGGAAGTACTTTTATTTCCAACAGTAAAAATCTTTAGGAAAAGGACCAAAGGAGCTCCAGCATAATTGCTTAATACTCTGGAGCTCTCAAGTACCTATTAAACAGCTACAGATTTTAACACCTAAAATACCAAAAAGAGGTCAGAATTACTTAGGCTTTATACATATGGGTATCTGCAGTCAAAACAGGAACAAAAATAACAATAAATTCCTACATTTGGTCGAAAACTGCAATCACACTGCTTGTGGCACTACTCTACTCACAGTCTAATATCTTCATATTGTCTTCTTTCTCTGATAGTCTCATGAGAGTAAAACAGCGATTCATTACATTTGTTCCAAAACCAATACCACGTTACAGTCAGGACAAAATACATGCACACAAGGATGTACATCATGTTCACATTCTCTCTTAAAATAAAAAGTTGCAATTCTTACAAAGATCACTTTTCACAGAGAAAAAACACATCCATCTGTCCCCAGTTCACCCACTTGGGGGGTGGGGGAACATCAAAAAAAGCCCCCAAAACAAGAACCAAAAAGAACTAGTTTATCCAAACTGAATTGTTCTAAGGAAACTCCACATCATGTCATAGTATAAACAAAAATTATCTATGCTTGTTTTGTGGCACACAAACACAGAAACTACACTGCACTCTACTTGTCAGTATCTTTTAGATAACAAGAGACATAAAAGAAAATTTATAGGATGCTACCATGTTAGGTTAGGGAACCGAAAAGAGAGTTTATTAATAATGAATGATGAACAGAGCTACCGAAATAAGGCAGAGATAATACTACGCTATACATGTTTACCAAAATCTAAGGTAAGTGCAGTCAAAACATCAGAGATTACAAATAAAACCAATTTTATTATATTGTAAGAAGGAAGTGCTGTTCTGCAACTCTTACCGTCAAAAAATTCCATATATTATAATCTCCTAAAACGGAATGTTTCAAATTTTGCAGCCTTCATTCAGTATTACTTTTTCCTATTTCTTCAATAGTACCAAAGAGACCAATTTCAGCGGAATACTTACCCGTTTGTTTTGGGCTTTTTTACGCAGACTTGCTAGTCCCGGAAGATCACTTAACCTGACATTGTAAAGGATCCTGCCTTTGCCTGAATATGACTTTTTTTTCCCTCCCGTGAGTTCCATCACATCAGTCTAACCATGCTTTACCTCTCTGGAAGTTATGTCCTTACAGCAAAAAGGCATCGATCTTGCAGAGTCACTGCAGCCACAGCTTAAGCCTGGAAGACGCTGCTAAGGGCGGCGAAGGAAACCAGCAAACCCTCGTGTGCTCCGCCGCTTCCTGCCCACCAAGGACACTGCATCACCGCCCTGGGTCACGGAGCGCCCAGGCACAGCTCGCCGCCCCGAGAGCCGCGCAGGAAGCCCCAAGGAAGCCGAGCCCGTCCCGCAGCTCCCGCAGGAGGGGCAGACCAAGGCGGCCACTCAGGCGCGGTGCGCACCCGCGGGCGCGGGAGAGCCGCAGCCGCCCTGCGCCATCCCGGTGCCGCCCGAGCCTGCAGCCAACCCCAGCCCTTCCCCCGGGAAAACACACACAGGCGGGCGGACGGGCCTTCCCAACACACACAGTCCCGCCGCCCCTGCCCAATGCACAGCTCTGGGGCTCTCCCGGGGCGCCCCTCTGCCTTCATCCCCCCCGTGCAGCGCCCCCCGCCGGCCGCCCCGCGCTACCTGCGTTCGCCGCCTCCACCGCCACCTCCTCCAGGCCCGCGCGCCGCTTCCGCCCGCGCCGCGCGCCCCAAGCCCCGCCCCCTCCGCAGGACACGCCCCCGCCCGCCCGGCGCCGCGGGCGCCCCCCAGCGGCGGGAGGGAGCGGCGGCAGCGGTGTCAGGGCCAGGCTCCGCGCCCCGCGGGGAGTTTGTGCTCATCCGTGCCCTGGGCTGCGGAACGGGGGTGGGCATGTTTGGTCTGGAGAAAAGTGAGAGGGGGTCTCATCAGTGTTTTTAAATATCTCGAAATAACTCTTGGCGAGTTATTGGCCAAGAGGATGGCGCCCGAGTTTTTGGCGGTGCTCCGCGACAGGACGGCAAGCAAAGGCCGTGAACTAAAACACAAGTTCCACCTCAACATGAGGAAGAAACTCTTCACGTTGAGGGTGTTAAAGGACTGGAACAGGCTGCACAGAGAGGTCATGGAGTCTCCGGCCCTGGACACACTCCTGTGCTACCTGCTCTAGGTGACCCTGCCTTGTCAGGGGAGTGGACTAGGGCATCTCTAGAGGTCCCTTCCAACCCCAAGGGTTCTCTGATTGTTCGTGGGTGGCGTGGTACATAAACCTCTCCCCTGCCTCCCGCCCTCACCGTGATAATCATCTAAATAAAATTCATTGTGAGTGTAGGACTGTGCTAGAGTCACCCCAGGCTCTTCCTGCAAGGTCCTGTTTAAAGGAAGCTGGTATCAGTTAAGGAAAGGTGAACCTAAGGGCAAAGTAAAGAACACGTTCTTCAGCTGCAGAGTTGATAGCATTCAGAAGTACCTGTTGGTCACCTTATCTCCATCCCTTCAGCGTGCATCAGAGGCCACATGGCTTCTCCCTGCTTTTCAACCTGCATATTTTGTACTTGTTAGCTGCAGGAAAAAATCAGCATTTAAATGCAATGCTGTTCTAGAAAAAGGAATAGCGATATATCAGAGGGGCCTCGACCTAAGGATACAGACAAAACTCTTGGCAGGTGCTATGTCTGCTGACAAATCTGAGATGTATGATAAAAATATATGACAAAATATCAAGCACAGTGTTTCTTTTCAGTGGCATATGAAAATCAAACCTTAAAAGTGTTTATATAGTTCTTATATTTGTGGGTAATAATACTCTTGGTATCATTTCAAGGGGTAGATAAAAGCCCAGGATTGCAGGTATGTTACCGTGTCCTGTATTATTTGTCAAAATAATAAATAAAAAAACCCCACCAGAATTAGGTTGCTGCTGCAACTTTATTTCATTCCTCTCCTGCCAATCATTATCTGTAGACGGTCCTTTCAAATTTAATTTGCATAGCTAGTGCCCTGTCCTTTTCAAATAGGAGTTAAGAATTTCCTCTCCTAATATGTTTAAACTGCTAAATGGTAATGGCTAGAGAACAGCACATTAGTCATTATGCTCCGAGATTAGCATAGTTTCTGCCATCTGTCTTAACTAGTTAATCCTATAATCTGTATGTGCAGATAAGAATACATGCAACTTTATACTTGCTTTACTGCCACTATTTTTCCCTCTTCCTGATCCCTTATCAGTTGTTTACATCCTTTCCCTTCAGGGAATGGGCCTGATCTGGGTTTATCTTTCCCCCCAAAGCGTATTTTTTTCCAAAATCACAAATACTCTATACTTACTTACTACTTACTTATACTTACTACTGCATTAAAGCTAACACTGCATTAAACCAGTGCATTACTATTTCTTGAAAAACCTCTATAAGGCATGTAATTATGTCATATTAGTGTATCCTTTAGGCCATCTCTAGATGTTTTCTGGTCCAAACCATCTTCCATTTAGGAGAGACACTCCCAAAGACCCAGACCAACCTTGGAGTCTAACTAATAAATAGTGAAAGCTGAAATATAATATAAAATAATAATTGTTTTTAAGGTTCAGGAAACTCAGGTGAAGTCATTATAAAGAACAATGAAAGCAGGTAAGTTACAGGGAAAAAATGGTGAAGGCAACATGTAGTTTTCAATTCAAAACATAAAATTTCTGAGACTTTTGAAAAATAGGTATTGGTATCAGCAACTGACATTTTTATTTTAGATTCAATTGTCAGAACATTTTAGGATAACAGGAATGAAAAAAATCTGCTGGAATAATGCAAATGTCTTCAATGTGTGCATCAGGTCTAGTCTAACCCTCAGGAACTGAAATCACAATGTGGACTGTTGTTGTATTATATTTCTAGAGTGCCAGCTCTCAGGCTCCACAGCTCTCAGCTATCCTATCTCCTATTGCTGTTATCATATTTCTAGAGTCCCATACCTTCTGGGTGGTTTTCTCACACACAGCTCTTCACAGCAGTATTGCTCCTGCTTCTTCATCAGGGCTCCTCCAAGGGCCTCCCTGACTGGCCAGCCCACCCCCTTTTATCCCAGTTATCTTCATTAGCCACAGCTGCTGCCCAATTAAGGACATCACAGCTGCAGCCCATTTAGAACAACTAGGATTGGGGCAAGGCCACTTATACAATACATATATTTTACTAGGACTCCTACTATAGACTGTAGCTAGATCTCATACATGTACATGTTAACAAAAATTGTATTCCTGTTCTCTATTCTCCTGACCTTTTCCTCCCTCCCCTGCTTGGTTTTGGTATTTTTAGTGTAACCATTATGTATTTTCAGTGGGTCCTTAATATTCCATATTTTTTGCTGATCCATTCTATGGTAGAAAACCGATTAGTATTTTCACCTCACAATTTAAGCATGTCCTTCATGCTCATTCCTTTTTGTTCCTGTAGTTAGAATATAGGCAACATCAGACAGGATCAGAATATGCCAGAACAGTAAGTGATCTTGCAGTAGAATAAGTACTTTACTAATAAAGTTACAGTTGAAAAGGGAGATGAACAAATCTATGTACCAGAGCTGAACAGAGTAGAGCAGCTATAAAATACATTATGACATGGATTCAGAATTATTTTTTACATCAGCAGAGGCTAAAACTCAGGCCAACCTCCTAGGAATGAAAATTTATTTGTAATTGAACAGGAACTGACTAAGGAATTGACTGCAACTTTTTAAGTAAGTGATGTGCAAGAAACTTTTGCCCAAAATTAAATATTTTGCAGACCTAGATGACAAGGAAGACTTTTCCTCAATATTGCCTTCTTTTCCATTGTGAGATAATTTACTCTTCAGTCGTTTATTTGCTTCTGAATCCCCAAGGAAAAAGAGCAATGGTTGGCATATACAGTTCCAGCCTTTCATTTACAACAGAAGCACAAAACAACCAACACCATTTATGATCCAGGCAGGAAGAAGCAGAACCATTCCTGCAAAGAAGAGTGCATGTCAAGGCTCTCTTAGAGCCTCAAGCTATGGTGACCACTGGCTACCAATGTTTGTGTGATGTCTCCACTGGGACAAAGCAACTGTTGGGAACCCAGTGCTTTCCTGCACTGACAGAGCAAGTTTAGATGTTTCATCATCTTGGGACATTTTCTGACTTAAGGAACTGCATACCTGGTCTCAAATGCCTGCAAGGTATCAGCTATTGGTGCATGCTGGAGGAGGCACCAAAACTGTATAGGATACAGGACCAGGGAAACCTTTCTGAGGTGACTGAGCTGAAAGGATATAGCTTTTAATAAAACCATGGTTAAAATGCAATTCTCATGATTGCAAGTCGAAATTTAGGCCTTTGTTTCGTAGAAGCACACAAGACTGGATCCTGTGACTTTACCTCCATGTGTGTACAACAAAAGCAGCCCCCCAGCCTTGCATATTAAATATCCTCTTACCATAACACAACATCCCTGATGACACAGACCCACACAAATTCATAGGGTTGCATAAACACATTCATATAAATGGTCTTCCTTGCACCGCGGGAGCAGAACCCCGGAGAACGTGCTGGGGGAGGTGGAAGATAAGGGGCAGAGGAACAGGGTGATAATTTTCATGGCGTGAAGGAGCAGTCTTCGTAGCAGAGAGGGGTGCCCCGCCTAGTCCCAAAATAAGTTCCTTCCAGCCGGTGTGCAAGAGGCCAGTCCACACACAGAGACGAGGTATTTGATTTATTGACAGCTCTGCGCAGAGAGCGCTGCTGGGTGAGAAATCCACAAAACCTTCACGACGACTCCCAAAACTTCTCTCTATCATACCATACATTTTAGCAACAAAAGCGCTAATGCTCATCGACTACAAGTTACCTCCTTCTCTTACTAATCAGTAGTCTATCTTCCATTGGTTAATTACTCTCTCGCTTCTGATGCTAATGAGCCCGCATGCTCAGTCCTTCTCATCCCTTGAGTCGGTGGTCCGTAAGTCGGTCACACATCTCCCCCTGCCGGAATTACGGTCTACCCAGTCACGGCTGCTTCCGCACAGTTTCTTCCTTATCTCGGGAGTTCTGCCGCATGTTCTTGTAGCCCGTGAATTCTGCGTTCTTTGTGTCCACTATCAGTGGTAACTCCTTCCCAGGCTTTGTTACCCTCCCCCGAGGTCGGATATCACTGAAACATATCCAACCCTGAACCTTGACAAGGCAATTCTACCGACAGCTAATTTATCCTTCTAACGCCGGCGCATCACTCACCGCTTGCTTGGCAGCTGCTTATTTCAGGGATTAAATCTCCCTTCTTACTCATTAGGCTTGAAAGCTCACAAATATCAGACACAAAGAACATCCTTTCTTAAGAACATTTGTTTACAGATTCCACATTTCGGCAGCAACACCCGCGCACCTGGCGGGCC